CCTCATTTAATCTTCCATCCTTTGCCATCGTCTGCGCTTGTGTGGTCTTTTATTTTTCCCTTCCTCTGCCCCGTTCGTTTATTCGTTCATTAAGCACAAGCAGCATCTCTCATCTGTCGTACCTACTCTGTTTGTTCTCGTATCGTGCTCCTCGTAAAGTTCTGTTCCCCTTTCATCATTTTTACTACGCTCCCCTCCACGTCTTATTACTATTCTTGCTCTTTATCTTCCCCCGCTTCTTTCTGGGAGCTTTTTTCTTTACCTTGATCATCCTTACTCACATATTGTAATTTTTATCGTTACTATACCTTGGACTTCCCTCGTCTGCTGATGCGAGCGTCGTATTCTTGGCCCTCTCTCCCCTCATCACCTCTGTTTCCCCTCACTCCTTGCTGTACCTCTCGATGCCCTCGATAATTTATATTGCTTAACCAATCTCAGCTGCGCTCTGCAAAACATCCTCATGCGATCGTCGTCCATTTTTATCAACACTTTGGATTTTCATGCGTTACTTCACTTCGCTGCAGCTTACAATGTTTATTGTCACTCTAGCGGCTTACAAATCTGATTGGTATACGCCGGGGAATTTATTATGAATGCAAATTCTGCTCTAGGGCTACCATTTATTATAAAAAAATGGCAACATTCAATGGCGCTGTTTTTTCATTCGCAACAGACTAAATTTTTCTGGCGGAATGAAGCAATTTTAAGCTGATTTCCGCGTAATTATATTTATTGTTCATTTGTGGGTCACTTCAATTCATTCAATACATGAATTTCATTAAAATAATAATCTAAAAACAAAATAGATCCGAAGCGTTCTTCCAGTTCAGGATTTTTTATTTCCATGCAACATCATTCACTAAACTTTTTAAGCCAGCGCTACCGAGACGCGGTCAGCTCATTTTCGCGCATGGCGCTGCCTGCATTCGCGGCACGAAAATTAAAGAAGAATACGAAGGAAAAAATCGATGAAGGAGCAGCCGGGGCGAGAGGGAGAGACTCGTGCAGTGTCTTGAATGCTGTCGAGAGCCCTCAAGACCTCATGGCGGCTCTCTAAAGAAACCAGGCGAAAAAAATGCGCCCGACATGCACTGTAAACTTCCATGTCTCTCCTTTATCGTGTATTCTTTTACTTGTTATCTTATTCGTCACACTTTCAATAGTTCTCTGATTCTAACATAATGCAAATATTTTATTATGTTTCTAAATCTGATTGTTATTTGTGCGACATTTCCAGTGTCGTGCCTCATTGCAAAGCAAAATTTGTGTGAAGGAATATTTTAATTCCAGTTCAACTAACGTTGATTTTTACTACTTAAATTTTTTTCTACTTTGAAAAAGAAATCACAGCTCGAGTCTTTTAATGGGAAATAGGATCCATTGTCCGTATGAAATCTTGTGCTTATACTTGAATTAATTGAAAATTTTTCCACCCGTTAAACATAAAAAAATGATAAAATGCAGCTGCAAGTGAGTGATTTTAATAGAAGAAATTCAGTAAATTTTTTTGCTTATGTACCAATTTACCTAATTAAAAAAATGCTTGCTGTAATACTTGATTCTTCATTCAAGTATTCTAATGCTTGCTGGAATATTTGATATTGACTCCAAGTATCAATATCATTTTAATACTAACAGAAGACGAAATATTATAAAAATTTCATCCAATCTGAATTAAAAGAAGGTTGTGCTCACGGTGCATGGGGTGGTGAGCATGCAATGCGTCTTGCGCCGAGCATGACTGCATGTCTTGAGGACCTCGCATTGATTTTTGAATGAGGCGTCATGACTGCTGCCTGCTTCTTACACTCCCTACCTCCTCATACTCCTCCACCTTCTCAATATCATTTTAATACTAACAGAAGACGAAATATTATAAAACCCCTCCCCGCTGCAGTCTTTTGTTCATGTCCGACTTCTGCATTCGTTTTCGGCTGGCCTCCCCCTTCTTCCTCCCACTCCCCCTCCCCGCCAACATCACCCAAAGTCAACGCTTGTTTCTGGAACAGAAACAAGATATATCTAGCCTACCTCCTCACACTCTCTGTCTTTCGTTTGCATGACGCTCGTTCTCAGCCACCAGACCGACTTCAAGTCTTACATTTTGTCTATTAATTAGAATAACTTCAAATTTTTTAGAAAAATTCCTGCATTGGAGGACGACACTTGGACCTAAACCATCATGAATTAGTCAAGCATGCATGGGTCAATATACATGCGAGAATCTACAATAAATACAGGAATAAAGATTGAAATGAAGGACTCATAGGCGAGGAACCGAGGATCCTTCTTGAGATGATGAACGCTTGGATGGTGATCCTCCTTGAGATGAAGGATGCATGAGCGAGGATCCTCCTTGAAATGAAGGACGCATGAGAGAGCATCCTTCTCACCATGAAGGACGCCTAGAATCTGCTAAGAAGGGATCGATGCATGACGGGATGTGGCTGATCGCATGGCGTCGATCAATTAGCAAGGAGCGTCTCGAGCATCAAAAGACTCGTGCCTCCTTCATTAGTGGAATTAGAGAGACTTGATGGACTCCCACCAACAGCCTGCAAGACTAGAACGCCAGGCCGACTTTTCCAGGGCGGCGCGATGCGGATGATGTGATGATCACTTCTGTTTTTTAGTGAGACTAATGCCTGCATTCCAGATTCACGTTCTTTTAGGTAGCTAAACGGCTAGGTTATCATACACCGTGGTTGCTGATTCTCAGGTTCACTATATAGTAGTTTCTTTTATTTTTAGGGATGTGTTGGAATGATGAAAAGTTCAAATTATTTTTTTCCAAAAGATTATCGCATTCCTTATAGAACGGATTGTTGAAAGTAAACGAATTCCAAGTTAACCCGTTTCTGCATCGTCATTATAAAGACACCTTGTAAGCAATGATTTCTGCCAGCGATTATTTGACCAACAGTCCACAAAAGAAATTGCACTTCCATCTGGAGCGCTTCTTAGAAAAGTTACCTTTCTTCAAAAGTTGTTATCGCTTCAGGTAAATTTCAGTCATTGCGCATGAATCATCGATACTTGGCAATATACTCCTCCAGCTCACAGATTTTTTCATATTACTCTACGTGCTGCTAGTATCTTACTACTTTACTCATCCAACTGCCGGAATCTTCTGGCTTTACTCTTTTGGCTACCTGAATCTTCTCACTTTACGATTCGAGCCGCCAAAATCTTCTCGCGTTACTCTTCTAGCCGCCAAAATTTTCTTATTTTATTCCTCTAGCTGTATGAATCTTCGATGATTTTCCCGGCAGGGGTTATTTCTGAAGTCTCAAGTCTTCGATATGCAGGCTGCAATGCTGCCTCGGATGCTCCTTTGAAAGCCTCGCCGCTGCATCTTTGCACCTCATTAAAAATATTCATAGGAGGAAAAAGACAAGCCATATCAAAGACCCGATGCTTCAGCCGACCTCCTCAAGCAATGCAAAAGGTCGGCTCGGCAATCCTTGTCGTATTCTCGAAGGTTTCCGTAATTCATGATCCTTCTTTCTGCGAAACCGTGATCCGAAGGGCTAAAATATTTTATGACAGTATTTTGTCGTATGTCAAGGTTATATCAGCAAATCTTTTTTTACGCTTGCATGGCATTTTCTGTCTCGTATACACTCAATGTGAAGAACTCCTTTTTTGGTATCTTGCATTTACTTTTTCATTATTTTTTTACTAAAGCGGAATGAATTTTCCTATATTGCATCTATAGGAAGTGCTCGGCATTCCTCTTTGATTATTCGTGTGTGAATTTATGAAATAATCAATAGCAAAGTGGTTAGTATAACCAAACTAGTACCTACTATTTACTGCAACTCCCATGAAATATACTGTCTTCCGAAACCTAAATTTGTATATACTATGTAGCTGGTAAACTGCAGCGCTCCCAACACGTTTCCACCTAACCAACCCAAGAGTGAAAGATACAAGCCTTGCAGTGCGAATTACTTGGGTTTTTTATGGTACTTTTAGGGAGAGCGCGATGATTTTTGGAGCGGCCTCTAAAGCTTGTTATCGTCATAAGGCCAGGCTCTCTTATTGTTCTCATGCGGCTCGTTCAAACCGAGTCGCTTGCCGATTGCATTTCTCTTTTAAAACGTTAGTACCACACTAGTGATGCCACTAACATTACGGGGTCATTTTCCTACAGTGAAAATCAGTGAATATCCCTACACGGATAACAATTAAAAATGTCTTGATTTAATACTGAAGGCAATACTCCGTCCTCAGTTATCTTTGAGTAATCTGTAACACAAAAAATTAGCAAGTTTTCTTCAATTTATCAACATCGGTACAAAACTACTTGACATCATAAGCGTTTTTTCTACTATTTTCATGTTAGCTATTCGCTCTTCTTTGCTTTCAAACACAAACTGTAGCAATGTCGTCACAAACTGCTTGCAAACGCATCTCCAGATATTCCTGCAAGCTTAACCATTTATCAATCGTGGAAAAATCAAGCTACGCTAATCGAAGAGATTGTTTGTCGACTTTAATTAGTTTTTATCGGCTGTGTTTGGCTGCGATTCTGGTCTTTGCGTTTTTTTCGGTCTCGAAAGAGAAGGAACTTATCAGGCCGCCAAAGTGCACCCTAAGGGATAATTAGGCAAGTTTTGAGATCTTAGACCGCTATGACAGCACGGCCTCTGTGTCGGGGTAGGTCGGGTAAACACTCTCTTGCTCGCTCAATTATCGCTATTTTCTTATCACAATTATGCGTGGAAACGACTATTTTTTTCTTTGTAGCACCTGTTCATTTTTCGTTTTCTTATAGGAATTTTTCTATAAGGGTTCTACTACAGACATTTCTAAATTATTCACTCTCTATGTTTTCACATCGTTTTTCATTAGAGAATTAATAATTACGTACTATTTTGTTTTCTTTCAGAGATTTCTAAATCGAAATGATGAGCCTTTACTTTCGATGTCTTTACAATGTTTTACGATTACATAACAAGTAACAAAGTTTTTTTCTTTTTTATCTTTTGCAGAGAGTTCTACTACATCCAGATGGAGAAGCACGCTCGACAAGCCCTCAGTGAAGGTGCAAAGAACGCCGATGATCTCACGGTCACCATCGACTCTGAACTCATCAGGGTCCTTAACCTTCACTACAACCGCAACAACCACCTCGAGGTTCGTGCGAAATTGTATAACTTAACTGTGTAACAAAAAGTTCGTTAACTTTAATTTCATTGATTTAGCATCGTATTTAGTGCAGGTTATTTTTAAACATTTCATACATGAATTTCTAGCCCTCAGCAAACTACTCAAATTTGTTTGTATTGCGGAAAAAAGTGTGATGCAATTATTGCCATAAAGAAATTTTGTATTTGCATTTCATTTTTCAGCTCAGTACCTCAGTATTCCGAAAATATAGCTTGAAATAAGATGATATCAAGCCTTTTCTACAATTTCCCTCGTGGAAATTTTTTAATTTAAGCAAGAAGTTGAGTGGTTTCCTTCTGTTCCAGCAGATCCCAGGTCACTTTAGGTTCGTGACTGAACAAACGCTGAAGGAATTCTTCAAGGCGATCCAAGACGGCAAAGACAGCGAGTCGTCGTGGAAAAAAGCTATCTACAAAGTGATCGCCCGCCTTGACGAGTCAGTGCCCGACTACTTCAAGTCACCCACCTTCCTGGAGCAACTCGAATAGGGGCAGAGAGATGCCTAGGCTTACCTAGACCTAGTGCCGCAGATATAAGAATATATGTCTTAGTTTGTCGGTGCTAATCTAGTGTTGCTTAGGCATTGGTGGATACAAGCGAGAATTTCATAACCCACACGGTTAAGATCACGAGATGTTTCTCTAGTGCGGCGTAGAACTGAGGTCAAATTTACTAGATGAAGGAAACTACCAACTTCGTCCTAGCGAACGAATCGTCACAATAGAATTGCCTATCGTGGCACGGCTACCTCAGAATTGTCCAACTTAAGATGTGTTAACTCTAAACGATCGTCGCCTGACGTGGTACCTCAAGAATGCCTAGTGTACGTAGGTGGTGCTAACTTGATAGAATTCCTAGCATAATAGACAAAGACCTGCCGTTACCTAGCTCATTTAAAGACATTACAAAGATTATTATCTTTGTTGCATTCAAGGTGCAGAATTAGGAAGTATGAAGCACAATCCTGCCGCTGCTGATTCACAGCTAGAAATGTGTAGTCAATGTGAGGCCAAGAAAATCCGTTGGCTAACTACTTAACTCGCGACTGGCTTACACCCAATAAATATTAACACAAATGCGAGCCTAATAAGCTATGGTGTAACCCGCCATGGGCTGAACAGTTGAAATTAAAATCCGAATTCGGGAACCTTGCTCCTAAAAACCCACTCCTCTAATCGGGCATATCAGAGGATTCATAAATAATAATTTTGAGCCCGCTAATCACATGTTTAAATTAAAATTGAATGGTGAAAATAATATGCGCAAAGTTGATAAAAGTTAGATTTGCAATTAGTAGGATTTAAAATATTTTAGTGAGTTGTTTGGTCACTTGACGCACTCAATATTCCGGCGAAAAGCTCCCGAGAAACTTTGTTTTCCAAAGATCCAAATTCGCGAAAATCCTTCAACAAAAGAAAGTAATCCATGAAGATGTTCTTGAGGAGTGATCACTGAAGAGCCTGATGATATGTTCTTGGGCTTAATGCGGAGATGATGATGAGTCATAATGATTGATGTACAAAATGACATTCCAAAATGTAAAGCATTCCTGCCAACAATATTTCCGTGTTTTTTCTTCATTTCTATGCTGTGTGTTGATAGTTGTAACTGTTACTTGTATTACCAATTGTAAAATAACGATGATTTAATGATTCAAATCTTTAAAGGTATCTATATCTAATAACCTAATTTCAATTGTATTAATTTATTTTGCGGTATTCCAGCATAACTAGTCTGTAAGATCATTTCTAAAATATTCCAGGAAAAAATCATGTGATAATATTCGGTTTGGGTTTTCTGATCAACTTTTCGATTTTTCCTTAGCAGTAGAAATATTTTATTCCACATAATCCCGTTATTTTCAATGTAGTTCATTTTCGGGCTTGATAATTTTTAGTTGAATATTATAAAAACTGATTTTAAACATGTTCGTTTGAAAGTTACAACCGCTGTTGCTTTATGATAAAAGAAATGTTACTTGAATTATGGTTAGGCGGTTACCCTATCGTTAACTTGATATAACTTGTTTACTAGGTTACACCCGTTACTACTTAACAAACGTCTTTTCTCGAGGTCACTAACTGGCTTACGTCTACACTGTTTTTAATATATACTTACCATAACACTGAAACCGTTCTACTTATACTGTATAATAACGAAGAGTGCTCTGCAATATGACGAAATGTACATATGATAACGTATTCCTAACAACTGTAAATAGCCTGCACTCATTTATGCACTAGGAATGGCTGAGATTTTGTCCCTGTTAGTAGTTGAGCGCGTACGAATGTACTTGTCTCCGAGTAGCAGTACAAGACATTATGATTTAGGGCATAATTGCATTGTTTATACGCGACTGAGTACAATAACGAGTAGAACTATCACTTGTAAATTGTAAATAGAGCTTATTACCAAAACTTTCTCGGTGAGCCCTTGATGTCCGGGACAATGTAAAGGAGGATCTAAATCTTTCCTTTCATTATCTATGTTTTTTCACATTTAGTCCTCGTTTTGTTCTAAATTATCTAAGCATTGAAAAAGTTCAAGATAATATCGTGGTTACATTAAACTGCATGAAGTTCGAAGTATTTTTAACAACTTTCATTTTTTTCTTTAAAGTTGTTATCAATATTGGTTTTCATTGTAGCTTCATGAATGCTTCTAGCTTTTTGTCATTTGATTCAACAAGCATTGCGTCTACTTACTCATTTTTTTAATTATTACTTATTTTAATGACTAAGTAACGGCGAGCTTTTCTTTCTCTGCTCACATATGTCCACAACCTACTTTTTATGTTATTTTTTATTTTTAGGCTACTTTTTATGTTATTTTTTATTTTTTCCAATTGTGCCGACGCTCTTTTATTGAAAACTTTAATCTATAGTTCAAGTCTAGTCGGGTTTCGGAAAAAGACAGCTATACGTCACATATTGCACTACTAGTCAAATGACCTTCAGAAGTACAATAGCGAAAAGTTGTGTACTTACATGATTTCTACATTCATCATTTGATTTACTCTTGTATCTTTTTAGAATATAGGCATCTGCAAAAAAATTATATTCATAAATTTCACTGTCATTCCCTATAGATTTATTTACTTTATTTCAGTCGTGCGAGACGTTTTCTACGGAGTTCATTTTTCGGCATTTTTGTATTTTTTTGCGACCTTTGAGATGCGCCTGTGAATTTTTTATTAGTGTTATTGATATTTGTTTAAGGCCGCAAATTTCACGAATTCTTTTTATTTAAGTCTATTCCATTGTGCACATTTTGCATACTGCAATACACCGTCTCACTATCTATTATCTCCTTATTTATCCGTTTGATTTATTTCCGATTGCTTGTGCCAGAATTTGCAGTTTCCTCCGGCATATTTTTATAACTATATATAGATGTTATACTTTTTCTCCACTCCAAAAACTCAACCTTCATAATAATGATGGAAATCCAGTAATTACAAGTCTTTACAAAACTTTGAACACACGGAATCCGTTCCTCGATTTTTGATTTAGAGTTTATTATGGAAGAGACGCAGTTCCACCGCAGTACAGCAATAAACCAAAGAACAGTCAGGAGTAAGATCGGCTGTTTTAGTTGTTCGGTCTCAATTAACAGGGGCAGATTTTCCGTGAAAAGCATGACCGACAAAGTTGCTTAGACCCAAATTATATCCAGCGGGTCCATGATGACTTCAGTCCAGTGACGAATTTTCTTTGGCCGCAAAGCCACTTTTAGGCGACATAATTGAGAAGCGTGTCTGGTCAAGTTTCTTGACCTAGAATTACCTCACATTGCTAGTAGTTAATCGACAAAATTTGTTCTAGACTGCACTAGGAAGGCTCTCAGAAGGAGTTCATATTCTAGAGCAAAGCTGTGTTCATCTATCAAAGTGTAAGGCAGGCAGGCTTCACGGCGTCCATCAGAGCTTGCGAAGTTCTCAGCATTAACTGAAATCGGCGGTCACAAAGATTCCAACATTTGCAGAAACAAAAGAATTTATTACGGTGTTCAACTCATAACATCGTGAGTACCAAACTTTTAATTGATCTTTGGTTGAGCAGTGGCCGAGATTTACGGTATGCAATGCCTGACCGAAGAAACGACAAAACTTTCTTTCGGTTGCGCTGCTCTATAATATTTATCTTATGCGGAAAAAAATTAAAAACTATGTTAGAAAATATAACTTTCTCAACGCGTAGAAACTTGCTCAATTAATATCAAGCGATCATAATGCAGTTAATTTACTTTTGTGGGGTTTCATCTATTTTTTTAGTTATGCAAACACTTATTTAATGTGACGATCATCAGATTACGTTCAATGATTTATTTTCAAATGAATCGTTACGGGGGCGAGCTCGATTATAAATTGTACATGTTATGGGTCAGGTTTCACCAGAGAGCATTAAGCAGCTGTATGTTTACACTCAATGAGACCCAACATCTGCTCGTATGCTACTTAATTGGAAACATGTGTACCAGTGTATACATGGTTCAAATACTCTGCGTACTTTCTCAGTTTGATTCACACTGACAAATAAGTATCATTGATAATGCATCATATATGCGCGGTTGAATTATGACAGATCAACAGTCTGCAATCAATATAAAGAGTAAAGGTTTTTCAGATGATTATGAACGATGTTCCCAAACTATTTGGACTTCATACTGTTGGAATAATTAGACACAGATAATTTTAGCTGTTGGTCCTAAGAAATATTTTCTGCGAATTTCGATTAAAAAATTTGCATGACTCGAGATTTTTCACGTCGAATTGATGTTTGGTGAAATATGATGTTCTTCAAGTCCATTTTCATGTATTCAATAGAAAATTCTTCTTTTTTTATCAAAGTTCTATTCTGACTTCATTTGAGGGTAAGATACTGTATTTTTCAACTATATTATGCAAGTGAAATTAGATAGTAAACCCATCTCCGCACCTGAATGCTGTTCATAAATATTATAGATAAGATCAAGCGTAGCAGCTATAATGCCGTCTGTAACAAATGCGTGTTTAAAATATCATTAAATACAAGTTGACTTGCTTACTTGACGCCTACATTAATTATTCCTTTACAAAAATTCTGTTGAAGCTTGCGACTGGCTTTCTTCATGACTTAAACTTTATAAATTTAAATAGAGTAATATATTTGAGACATAATATCTCCTATGTACAAACAATTCAAATACAATAATATATCTGAGACATAATATCTCCTATATCTACAAACTATGATAGATGTATAATAGTTTAGGAGTAAATATTGTGCCACATTAATATTTTTTGTTAAGAAATGTTGAAGGCTTTTGAATTCATACAGGGAGGTTTCCCATAAAATATCACTAAATAATAGCTGTAACATTTCAATACTCACCCCCGCTATGCTTCGTTTTCTATGGAACGGTAAGAAGAAAACACAAATTTGAGGATATACTTTTTCAATTTACTAAAACGTCATCAGTGTATATAACATGATCAATAATTATTTTCGACCCATAATCCATTCAATATAGTTTAATACTTGTAATTTTCAGCATCGCTCAACCAGAAAAAAAAGAACAATGCTATAAGCTGGAACGATTAAATATCTTGGATTTAAACGTTCTGCAAAGGTTTAAAACTGAGCACGGAAATGACGGAATACGGATTACCGAGCAGTAATAGGCAACAAGGCGAGTATCAACTTGCCAAGTACCGTACATCTTTAAGGAGCTGTTCTCCAATATTCATATTATTTTTAGGTATAGGAGCCGCGAAAATGTTCGAATTGTTGAACAAACTAAGTGGCATCAGGTAAATTTCGGTAATTTGAGCTTTAAAATGTGAATAAATTTATTAACGGTGTTCACTCATATCTTTAAACATCAACAAGAACATTTGAGATTAACTAGCTGCCTTAAATGCAAAATTAAAATTAACCAATGCATTTTTATACATTCAATTGACGATAATGGTGACAATATTCAAAGTATCTAAATTAAGCTCTGAAAGCACATGATGATATATGCCGTTCATAATACCTTCTTTCATTCCAGTTTAAACAAAATAGCAAGAAAATGAAACTCATATATAGGACTGCAAAATAAATTGCAGTAAAAAGTAATTCGATGGAATGACATTACATCAGAGAACGAGCAGCGCGTCGAGCAGCCCAGCCGTCAGAGCTGATATTCGAAGATGCGATCTTCTGACGTGGCGCTGCCTGCAGGGGCGGGGGTAACTTAAACAATAATTTGGTCACGAACATAAAAACGAACTTAACGAACTTTTCTCAAAAAAATTACAAAAAATGTGTCTCGCAAATTGTTTTCTGGAACACAAAAACGGTATTAACTGGGGTTACTCAAAAAACTATTTGGTCGCGAACATAAAAAAAAACTTTTCTAAAATAAAAAAAATGTGTTGAACCAACTGTTTTCTGGAACACAAAAACGGTATCAACCGGGGGTTACTCAAACAATAATTTGGTCGCGAACATAAAAACAAACTTTTCTCAAAAAGAAAAAAATGTGTTGCACAAATTGTTGTCTGAAACACAAAAATGGTAACAACTAACTGTTCTCGGCAAGAAAAAGATGTTATGAACGAAAAGTTCTCAAGTACACAAAATTATATTCAAAGAATTGTCTCATAAACACAAATACGAATTCAATTAACTATTCTCAAGAACACACGATCGAAAAGAAACCGTACCCAAAAACATCACACTATATATATCATGAATATGAGTACAGTGACTAATATATCGATATATTATCATGAATACTCATTTTTGTACTAGTCTAAAAAAATCCTGACTTACTTTTACTAATCAAGTGAGTATACACCTGATCAGGGGACATAAATAAAAAGCATTATTAAAGGCGCTGGTATATTGTACATATCTTATCATTACAAACAGGAGAGTACAAACTGGTATATGCAACACACTTTGTACACGTACAGTGAAAACAACACAAATTTTCACACGGGACACTGCGGAATTTACAGCGTTTCATATCTACTGAAATAGGCAACAATAAAAACAAGTAGACACTTTTTGAAAAAACAAATTGGAATAATGAAAAAATAATTTTTTTTCATTTAAAAATCAAAATCTACATGCCCGAGGAGCTCTCGGCGCTACTAGGGCATGTAGAATTGTTTTAAACAAACTTTGAACAATGAGTAACGATAAAAGCTTAAAGTTATCCTAACAGAAAATAATTTCTAAATTATTTTCGTTCAAATTTTGCATGTTTACAAAATTCCTGTACTTAAATTGGTGAATTCCTCGAATCTGTTGTTATTAATCCTCGAAATATTTCTTCGTTCTATAGGGCGGTGATTTTTTGAGATGGAAATGCCATTCAAAAAGTGCAGTTAATACACACTTATATTGCACTTTAATTTTCTATCACTTACGTGAGACTTCCGCATTTTTTTTTTTTTTTTGCTTCGCATTTACATGCAAAAATATTGTTACTGGCAGTAAATCGTTTGAACCCCAATTTATTATTTTTTCAATCTTATTCTAAATAAACATGTTCATGTGTAATTTTTGTAGTTTATAACCTGATAGCAAAATTATGAAGCAAATATATAAGCGGTCTATCAGAAATCTTTGGCAGTGTTGACCAGAATGCACGCGTAGAATGTACACCTCATTAATGTTAACAAGAGAGAGCATCGATAATAAAGTTAGTTCAACAACTATGCTTACAAAATTATGACGAAAATACTGAGCAAATGTACAGCAATACTACTTTTTGATTTCAAAATTATGAATAACTGTAAAAAAATCTTAAAGTAATGCAAGAATTTCTCGGAATCAGTTATATGGTTATAATGATAATTTTTGAATTGCGAATTTATTGTCTAATTTCTTCATTGAAGCATTTATTGTAGTAAAGTTCCGCATGAAAAATAAAAGAAAATTAATTAATCGAGAAAGTCTGTAAAAACAACAGGATTAAATTTTCATGGTAAATGCTCAATCAAAATAATAATAGGCTGGCACACACTCACACAAGTCATAATGAAGAAACAGTGTAGCCGGTGCCATATATCCTTAAAATTATCTATACAGAAATGCGCAGAATGAAGATAGTTCAACCTCATTATTAAAGTTGATTAATTAAATGTTTCGCTAAAAGGCATTTGCCTGATTAATTTACGGAGTTAGAGAAATAAAAACGGAAGTAAAAAGCTGGTCCCGTCATCATTGCGACTAACAAATAAACTTTGAAATTTTCCGAACTATGTTACGGAGGATAGGCCCAATTATTATAGGAGGTAATTAAAAATGAACATTAAGGCCAAAAGACATGAAATTTTTTTAATCTAATAAGTGACATCGATTGATCATTAATCACTTCAATTATGATCCGGAAGCTCATGATAGACATGAGGGTGGAAAATTTTGTAAAGCTAAAGCTGAACTCGAATGCTTCTGCTCTTCTTTCAAGTCATTTAACGACCAAATTACCTTCTTCCACAACAATAAAATAATTATATTGATCGGTGTGCATACACCAGACAAGTGACGTTGAAATAACGTTTAATTAACGTTTATCCAAACAAACGGTGTTTTATTTAAAGTAGATTCAACGTCAGGTGTCTGGTGGGATGGATGACCAGAAGGATATCAAATATTAATATCCAGGAGCCTCTACGCTGGAACAATGGCCAAGGTGGCAGTGGCATATTCTCATTGCTTTGAACTTAGACATTGAGCAACGTGATGTAGCCGCTTTGCGGCTGAAATTCTCAACATCCTGTCATAAATCATATGAATTCGACAGTGAGTAATCGGGGCAAGAAATGAGATATTTTTACTTTTGTGTAAAAAGCCTCAAATTTTTAAACTTTGCTTTCGTTCAATTTCGTTAACTGACACATTACAGGATTACATTTTGAATATGATGATTTTTTAATTCAGAGTTTGTAGTATGAAATTATTTCAATAATTCAAACACTACAGCGAGCATTAAGCTTGATTTTCATCCTTACGATCCGGCTGATTTGATGTAAGTAATCCAATTTTGTAATTTATCCATATTCGAACAAACGCATTGCAAACACAAACGTCAAAGCTCCAGAGCAAAACAAAACAAAAAAGCTCGTGAAGTAGCGAAAAGAAATCGCAAATTGTTATTTGTGCAAACTTGAACATTGTAACAGGATTTATGCATTAAATGTATTCTTTCAAAATAATTACCCCATTAGTCAGTCACAAAATATTATTTGATGGAAATTGTAAATTTGAATGTAAAATGAACTGATTAATTATGAAAAAACCAACGCAATAGACTTCACTGAATCAGGTTATTTGAATGTTCGATGTAAACTTGAAAGCAAATGTAATGTTTAGTTTGGATAAAACATAATATTCTTGCTTGCATGCAATCTGTGCTTGCAGTCAAATATATTCAAGTATATATATATAGATTCATATAGACAAATTAAGATGAGGTAAACCTAATAATTGAACTAATATCTAATGAATTGTATCGCAATAAAGCTCAAATTTTTTCATGTTATTACAAGATTACATCAGTACAAAATTGGGACTTCTATTAGAAAAATGTGACTTTTTAATGACTTTTATGACTTTCACTTCTTCCATTCCGGCATTTTTCGTATAAATTTTACCTGCTGCACCTTTATCATTCGATACGAACATCCTTCACCACCAAAATGAATGTGCAGAGCGAAAATCAACTTTTGCATTTAAAATCAATTGCGTTTTTAAACTAATTTCACAAAACATTCATCATTAATTCCTTATTCTTTCCCGAAGAATTTTTTTTGCAAGTGCTTTCGTTTCGGCAAGGATTTCGTTCTCAAAATTTTTTTACGTCCAAAAAAAATTCTAAATTAGTCATTCACGCACGAATTCTCGAAGAATACAGACGCGATTTATACATTAATTATGGAGTCTCGGGAGCTACTACCCTGGGGGGTTTTGTTGAGCGAGGAGGGGGCCGATGGTTTGGGGGGCTTGGCGGGGGGCAGCTTGTTGAGGGGGTCGTGCTGCCCCTGCAGCCGCTGCTGCATTTGGCTCAACATCTCCTGCATACGACGGATCTGCGGTACAGGCACACAGATTAATAAATTTTTTATATAATTTTAATGGAAAATATGCACACAAGTACTCAAAATAAAAATTTTTAAATTTATGTTGATAAAAATTACGCACAGAAATACTCCAGTTAAAAATCTTTTAACTTAATGTTAATAAAAATAGGCACTCTTGCTAGTACTCAAATTAACAATCTTTGAATATAATGTTAATATAAAATAACTACACAGCCACTCAAATTAATAATTTTGGAATGCTAAGTTAATCAAAAATCGTTCTCGTCAAAATAGATTAGAGATCAAATAACAAATGGCGATAATCACAGAGTGAAGATAGCCTCTAACCTAATATCAAAGAATTCCTGTAATTAAAATCAAAATCTCATTATTTAATTTACAACTTCCAACGAATAAATCTTATAATATTAGCAAAATCGATCATCAATCGGTGCATTATATATAATATGGCATTTATTAAATTATTTTCATGTTCGGTGAAGTGCAGTAAAATTTATATTTCATTTCTGATCTTTAAAAATGCTGTTGACGCCTTTTTTAAAAGAATTCTTTTGAAAAATGAATTACTTAAGTGTACTCAAATTAAATGCTGCCCGACAAAAGTAAGAAAAACTGTATGAGAATCCTACAAAAAGTTGCGGCGGAAAAGATGAAAGGAAGTTTCACCTCCACCGGTTATTATTCACCAGGTTCAAAAAATAAATGTCATTAACATAACCGAAAGCACCCCGCCCGAGATCCTGTGGAAACTTATTAATGCTCACATTAGATGCTCACGCTTTTTTTAATTCAATCATGAAAATCGTTTGATAGGCACTGCAATCTCGCTACGTGTACTAGGGCCGCTACGTGTACTAGGGCCGCTACGTGTACTAGGGCCGCTACGTGTACTAGGGCCGCCACGTGTACTAGGGCCGTTACGCGTTCTAGGGCCGCTACGTGTACTAGGGCCGCTACGTGTACTAGGGCCACTACGTGTACTAGGGCATACTAGGGCCGCTACGTGTACTAGGGCCGCTACGTGTACTAGGGCCGCTACGTGTACTCGGGCCGCTACGTGTACTCGGGCCGCTACGTGTACTCGGGCCGCTACGTGTGCTCGGGCCGCTACGTGTGCTAGGGCCGCTACGTGTACTCAAGTCACTACATGCACTTAGGCGAATTTTGATAGCAAGGCCGCTATTCTCCATGCAATTGCAAAAAAGATGTATTCACCTCCTCATCCTTTTGCTCGAGCAGCTTGCCCGGGTCGTCGACAGGCCGCTTCACGTCTGCAGCGCTGATGCTGTCGCGCCTGAGTTTGCTGCGCTCCTTGAGCGCGACTTGGTTCATGTGCGAGATGCACTGAGCTCGGAAGTTCTCATAGTGAATATCCTGCGTGACCTCCTTCATATCCTGCATGTGCGTCGAGATTAACATCGTCCGCAGCTTCACGAAGTCGCAATGAGCCGCGTTCTCCACTGAAAAAGAAAATTGAATAATGTATGGGCACTTGACAGCGCACTGCGGTCCACTAAATCATACGTATATGTTGATGCTATTTAAATTAGTCATGGGAAGGCTACTATCGTTTAAATGCAGCTACAATCAATATTGTGATTATAAACTTAGTCGAAACATTTGCTGCGGCTGAGAGCAAGGAAAATCGAGGTTGAGCAATTTTCAATTTTCATAAATAAAATATTCTTGAATGATTTAAAAAGATATCATTTATTTATTTATTTATTTATTTTTTTATTTTTTTATCCATATCAATGCAATAACACGTTTCACATACACTATAATCATTACACTATTAAACAAAATAATAAATATTATAACTTAAGTTATAAAAATTCAAAATAATAATAATAAAGTAGGAAAATATGCACCACCTTAAGTTATAATATTTGAAATAATAATAAAAATAAAGTTAAAAACTATCGAGCACCTTCTACGATGCCCCAGGGGTACTGGCGCCCCCGCACCCTCCTGCCGGCGATCTCGATGATGCAATTACTGCCGATGACGGCGAAGGGGATGGAGGCCTTGAGCTCGCGGTCCTGCTGCTGGAACTCTTCGTCCTCGTCCTCGTCGCAGTCCGGGAACTGGTAGATCTGCCCCATTCATTTCGTGAATTAAATTGCCCCATTCATTTCGTGAATTAAATTGCCCCATTCATTTCGTGAATTAAATGCAATTCTAGTCATTATTAAACAGGTATTGCTTGCTTGATGTCTCCTTGTATCCCACCAGACGTAGAAAAATTTTTAGAGCGATAATGCATGCATCCAATAAGATTTATTCAGTATATAAAAAGGTCATGAAAGACTTCACTTTCCTTGATATTATTACGCGTATGATAGAAAATGAATGATGTGTTTGTTACTCCCCTCAATGCTGTTCGAGGGTAATATAGAAAGCGAATGATGTCGAAGCTACTTTCCCATGTAACAAATTTCTAATGTTTTAAAAAAAACTGATGAGTTCACAGCTATTTGCTTCAGTACCTTTACAGGTGTTTAAAAACTTGATGAAGTAATTGTCACTATTAGGGGTGCTATAAAAACTAATGAAATCGAGGTGACTTTACTCAATAATTTTCTTTGTATCGAAGCGAAATGATTAATGCAACTGCAGTGACGCTATCACTCTTTTGATACAAAAAACACAATAAATGTAAAAATAATTGATGACCAGAAGTAATGACCTCACTGTTTGTCCCAATAAACTAATTTTACGTAATTGTATAATTAAGTTCTTCATGAAATATTTACGGAGCTCTTCAAACTCTTTTAATTGACAAATTTAACTGTAATATTTCACATTCAAAAAGCCACTTCAACTAATATTGATGAAATGAACCATTATACGTGTTATTGTGTCCATCATTACTGCTTGTATAATACCAGTTATTTAAACGATGAGATAATATTACCAGTTTGTTTATTTTGTACGCATGATTCCAGGAATGCTAATGTGTAATAATATCTTGCCTTTATTTTATGAGTGTCAATATCCCGCAGGAGGTTAGCCTTGAGTTTGGCGATCTCCGCCTTGGTGAGAGTGTCCGCCTTGGCCACCACAGGCACGATGTTCACCTTGCGGTGCAGGCGCTTCATGAACTCCACGTCCAGCTGTCGCAACCTGCACGTCGTCATGAATGATGCTATTTTATACTATTGATAAATATATTGTAAGTGCTATTGATAAATATATTGTAAGTGCTATTGATAAATATATTGTAAGTGCTATTGATGAATATATTGTAAGTTTACTAGTAAGATCTGCATTCATAAAAAGGACTTGAAGATAAATGAGAGTAAAATTATAGATAATATAGAAGCCAGAAGATGGTTTCTAACTAATACAAAAACAACAAAAATTGGTGACCAGAAGTAAATCTCAATTTTGCTCAAGAGGGTGGCCATTGTCAGTAAGCATTAGTTTCGGTCATACTTTAAAACAAATACCTCAAGAAGACAAAATAACAAGTAAAGTTTAAACACAGTTGAGTAACTTTTAAAGTCCATTCATGCTTACATATGCTATTTATTACTAATTAAAAAGGCTACTTCTACTCAAAAATATATGCAGATGAAACTGAATTTGAATTTAATACTCGTAACACACCCATGTCCGTAAGGCGGAACGAAGTACAAGCAGCAGTGGACTCTGTGGTCTTGAATGTTTCTTCTGTTGAGGCCGGACTCGTCCTGGAAGTATTTATTAAACTGCTCGTCTACGTAGCGCTCGACACTCTTCCAGTCGTCGCCGCAGTCTACGCCGTCGCCGAACCCTGCTCAAAATTTTGTTCATATTATGTCACAAAGCCGACAATTTTTGAAAATGTTATTATACTCACGACAGTTTCCAATATAATTTTATCATGACGAAAATTTCTTATTACAATTCCCCGCTAACGACATTTTCCCAAAACGATTTACACTGACGATATTTCCTAAATATAATTAAATTCTGACACAATTACGCAATAAAATTTCACACTGGCCACAATTTCCCAGTATAATTTTACACTGACGACAAGTTCCAATATATTTTTAAAACTAAGGAAATTTTCCCAATAAAATTTTACACTGACGACAATGAATACAAAATGGACTTTCATATGCATTTAGAGAGATTTAGCATCGTAAATTTCGAAACAAAAAATTAATGGATTTATAGCAATGATGAGGAGGATAGGTAATCAAAATGTATTTTCAAATGTAAGATAAGTACATAAATTATAAAGCAAATGAACACATTACCCGAAATACAGAAATAATAATAATAATAATAATAATAATAATAATAACATATTAATATATCCAGTCAGCTTCAAATCACCTGGCGTATCCACGACGGTGAGTCGCAGTTTGACGCCTTTCTCCTCTATCTCCACCGTTTTCTTCTCGATCTCCACTGTCTTCTTGATCGCCCCTGAAAATGCATATATATGAAGTAGTGATAAAAAGTTCACACTTTCCAAACTTAGCAAAAATATTCATCACAGTATTTACTTTATAAAGCTGTGACAGATATAGATAAAATGGCCAAGATCTTCACAGTTAATTTATCTATACACTTCGAATCGTACACTTCGATCCACCATATTTATTGAAATGGTTTATAAGCTGTAAGAACGAGAATGATAATGACTTGATAATAATTCGACAGTAAATGTCTCTCGTTTGCAATGAAATTACGAAAATCAACTTTTAATATATTATTCGCTACAACTCACAAAGTTTTGTTAGTTTTTGGTTCACGTTTGTTTTTCCCCTTGATGTGGCATCAAATAGTTCACGACTAGGTAATGATTTTTCGATAGGGCAGCATTTTTTTCGTGATGCAATATTTTGGAACAATGTGCCATCATTTAATCCTTGTCAAGTCTCGATTTTGTAAGTAAACTCATTGAAGCACTCATATTCGGGTTGAAAAAAAATTTGCTAAATCGACGCGCACGAACGAATATAAATCGCCATGTAAATTCGTGAAGTCATATTACAGATTCATACGAAAATTTACAGTCTAACTTCGCATGAGATGAGAACAAAATATTTATTGAGGCCTCCAGTATCCGATACATACTTGCGATAAACATCTGTTAATATATATATATATATTATATCATATATAGAACTACTGTATATAGTATACTGTAGAAGGAACTTTAAGAAATCTATCCATGAATTGTATATATATGCATTTCATACGGCGAGCCATTTACAGTGAGACCCACAGTGGAGAGTGAGAGGCCGCCACTCTAGTGGATGAATTGCCTGTGAAGTACCACTCAAGAGTGGCGATGTGGGAGGAAAAGCTGTGGTGAAGAAACTCTCAGTGTGGGCACGAAATGTGGGTGAAATTGACGAAGAATTAGTTCTTAGACAGATGGACAGTGTGCAGACAAATATTTTTCTTTTCTTGTATACAAATGATTTGAACTCCAGTTATAGTGGCGACAATATTTTGCCTTTGGACTGGTTAAGCTCAATTATCTTGTCTTAATATAAGTGAACTTAATATATTTAATGAATTAATTACAGTTTATTACAGTTTATTAACTTTGAAGCTTTCAAATCATTAAGCTTTGAAGCTTTTAAATTTTTTAAAAAAGTTCAAGCGATTTCGATTCAATGATATTTGATTTCCAAATAACTTTGCAATAACTTCGCGTGAAAGCTTAAAAAAGACCAAATTAGCCATGTAAATGATCGTTTGAGTTCCAGGCAAAATACATGAAAATAGATGTATCAATACTAAAAAAATTTTCAGCAGTGCAACCCACCATGTACAGGAGGGTTTTTTCTGTCCTTGTAGAGCTCGGTGAGGAAGAGGCTGTTGACAAGCGTACTCTTGCCGAGTCCCGCCTCTCCCACCACCAGCAGCGTGAACTCGAACCCGCGCTTGACGGTCTTGCGGTGCACCTGCTCAGGCAGCGTCGCGAACCCGATCATCTCGCGCGTCCCCTGTAAATAGAGTTACCAATAGAAACGACTCGTACAATATTTGCTAAATTGAAAAAGAATCTTTAAAATACTCATTCATAATCGTTAAATTATTGGAGAACAAGTTCTGTCACATTTAACGCGAGTTATATATTCGTTGTTTAATGCCGGTTAAGTCTCATTTAAAATAGTCCTGGAAATCACACATTACATGTAGACTCATGATTAATAACACGACGCATTTATTTCCTATAAAATCCGTTGCGGCACATGTTTACACTCCGAATAAATGGTGTCATTTTAGGAATTTTTCGTATTCTGCGAGATTCTTTCCTTGCTACCACGCATTTCTCGAATCATAGAAACTTTTAATGCGGAATACATTGTTGAGCTTCACGCCGAGGCTCATAGAAATCATATTGTCTTCAATTGTAGAGGTCCAGAAATTTGCCGTCAAATGACTGACCTGCTATAGCTGCAGGCAGCATTGCATTGTGTTTCGTTAATAGAATAATCCATAGAAATATTTCATGTAAATATTTTTTAAGCTAAATTGAAAAAGAATCTTTAAACAACTCATTCATAATCGTTAAATTATTGGTGAAAAAGTGCAGTCAGACTGAACGTGAGTAATATATTCGTTGTTTAGTGCCGGAGACAAGACCTACGTAGGTCCCATTTAAAATAGTCCTGGAATAGCACACATTGCATGTAGACTCATGAATAATAACACGACGCATTCATGTCCTATACACTCCCTCATGGCACATGTTTATAATCCGAATAAATGATGGTATTTTAGGAATTCTTCATCTTCTGTGTGATTTCCTACCACGCATTTCTTGAATCATAGAAGCTTTTACGGCGGAATACAAAGTTAATTTTCGTGCCGAGGCTCATAGAAATCATAATGGCTTCAATTGTAGAGGTCAAGAAATTTGCCTTCAAATGGCTGACCTCCTATAGCTGCAGGCAGCATTGCATTGTGTTTCGTTAAGGCAACGTAGCCGCCAATGTCTCAGAGTTCAGGTAAGCGAATAGGTTTTCCTTCAATAAAAACAGTAACGAGCGAGGATAGGGTCGGGAAATTGTAGCTGTTCGCAGTGTCAACAACGAGTGGCAGCGAGGCCAGCAAGCAAGTGAAAACAAAGTAAACTCCGATTTTGAGTACAATAAAGGTGGATCGTATACAAAATTGTAAACAATCAAATATTATGTTTATGATATTATTATTATGTATTATATTATATTATATTTTTGTACATCAACATGCATCTTTTGCGATTTGCAAACTTAATTTGGAAGAACTTTGTAATCAGTAACCCAGAACTTAATTGCTAGCCAAATCCAAAATTAATAATTGAAATGGAATGAGTAACCAACATGATAGCCAAATGTTTAGGTAATTAAATAGTCTGATGTAATGAAATTTCAATAAAATCCCAGAATTATTAAACCGGAATTAATGCGTGAAATCCGGCACGGTTGAATCGGCCTGTTGCTACTGTCAAGCGAGTCATCTTTATCTGGAGATATTTATGCTTTTGCTTATTTTCGCGCCACGGACGTTTTTCAGCCGGCCAATAAATGGCCAGCGGTCTGCCAGGAGCTTCTTGGCTCTGGCCGACCGAAGGTGGACGCAGGATTGCCAGAGCAGACCTCCTCGGAAACTGATAACACGCGGCAGGACTGCCGGACTGGCGGCTGAAGACGCTCTGCACTTGAGCTTATCTCCTCCACGCCGCAGCTGCTGTGCAAAAAGCTTCAGATTTGCCATTCATTCTATTTAAAATCAAGTCAGTTCGTCGCTAAACGAAATTAAGTTTACCAGCCATTTAATATCAATAAATTAATGATAATATAAATAAAAATGGAACCTCATTAGTGTCCAACCTCAGGCCATTGAGTGGGCGTGTGCAGAGTTTCACTCAAGGCGTTTAAATTACAGACTCAACGGGTTAAATAAAATCAAATATGTGAAATGCACTAATATTATGCATTATAACGGGGTTGGCAACTTAACAGTCCAAAATGACAGCTTAAACCACATTAAAATGTCAAAATATGTCTGTTATAATTATTCAAATATTTAACGACCCTAATTCTAAATAAATTAAAATATCAGTAACACGTCACTGACAGTTCTTAGTATGATTTCTAACGTTCAGTTCAGCAGACACAAAATATTCCTAGACGGACGTTTAGGAGTGTAGCTGCGCAGCGTACATGCTTGATCCGTAACAGGATCTTGGATGCGTCTGCCTACGCAATTGTTGCTGCTGCAACCTACGCAATTGTAGGCGTAACAGGATCTTGGATGCGTCTGCCTACGCAATTGTTGCTGCTGCAACCTACGCAATTGTAGGCGTATGTTGCTGCTGCAGCCTACGCAATTGTAGGCGTATGTTGCTTGCTGCAGCCTACGCAAATGTTTCAGGCGTATGTTGCTTCTGCAACCTACGCAATTGTAGGCGTATGTTGCTACTGCAACCTACGCAATTGTAGGCGTATGTTGCTACTGCAACCTACGCAATTGTAGGCGTATGTTGCTGCTGCAGCCTACGCAATTGTAGGCGTATGTTGCTGCTGCAACCTACGCAATTGTAGGCGTATGTTGCTACTGCAACCTACGCAAGTGTTGCAGGCGTATGTTGCTGCTGCAACTGCTACAGTTGTGCTGCTGTAAATGCAGATGTGCCACAGATGTAGCATTGTATTTCAGTTGCAGACATTGAGAATAAATCTAGGATGATGGCGGGGAAGCACGGACTGATCTTGACCAACCTGGTCACGCGCGACCGTGCCATTAGTCGCCGTGGTTTCGCTTGAGCGAGAATTCAATTTCGATTAATGGCGACGCGAGGAAGATTTCACAGATCAGTCGGGAAGTGAAAGAATTCGTGTGAAATTTCGTTCTGATAGCTGAATGAGTCGAACTTCTGTAAGTATTACAATTTCATCTTTCATTTTGACTTCTGTTAATAAAAAGCTGTTCATTGCGACAACAAATTACTGCACTTCTAGATTTGATCAATTAATGGAAAATATATCTACATTTAACAATCACTTTACACTCTTTGTTTGTGTTTTAAATAAATAATGTTGCTATTATTATCAAAGTAGGATAAACCACATGTATAATTCATTTCCATTTTTTGTTCAAAAATATAAATCTTTTTGGACTAGATAACATATATCGCGATTCTAAAAGGAATTTTCATAGACTATATTCAGTATAACGATCCACCCAAGCATACACCATACAACTACCACTACTTCTAAAGCGGATCGACAGACGTACGAAGCACCACACAGCACCACAAAGCAGCACACTGCAGCACGACAGCCTCGTTTAAAGGACAATGTGCTGCACAATTGCTGCATCCCGGCCTGTCATGATGACCTTACCGCTGCTGCACATGCTTATACTGTTTGCTGCTCTTCCTTACAACGTGAGGGCTGATAAGGTTTATGTTGCTCGTTATACATTGCAAAAATTATCATCCTCATTTGCAAGAATTGTCATTTTCATCTGCAAGAATTAGTTTTTCATTCGCAGGAACTACCATTCTCATTTGCAAGAATTACCATTCTCCCGTTTATGCAGCTGCTGCTGCTAAGGTTCCTACAGCTACATGTTGCTATGTATAGAGCTCTCTCAGCATGCATATCACAATTCATTACACCATCCATGTTGATGTTTCTTTCCTAACATTTTTATGTGGATAAGAAAAATTATCACTAGATCTTGCGCTGCAACACTGGTGCTGCTTGTCTACCGTTACTATACTATTCCTACTGTGAACATCAAAACTGATGCAATATTCCTGCTACCGTTACTTTCGTTGTTAATACTTATACTGCCTGTAGTCTTGTAGCTAATATGCTTCTGCTATTTTCCCTTTAAATTTCTATTTGTTGAAGATTCAATGCCATCCACATTAATTCATGAAAAGATAAGGTTTTGCATATCGAAAGTTTCTGCCTATGTTTTTTTCGTGCGAGTTTGTAGAGAAATTCTGCGAGACAGACACGGTACACAAGCGCCTCACAGAATTGATCGTATACACACAAGAAACCTGCTACACCTGCTACACCTGCTACACCTGCTGTATGTGAGCTGCAGCTGTGCACAGATGCCGTGCACCTGGAGCAGGTGTTCGATGTGTGCTGAACGCTGTACATTGCACTTATGTCTTAGCTCGATTTCCATGGATAATCTAACTTGATATATAGTTCGCCTATAGTCAGTTTGAAATATAATTTTGAATCACTTACTCCATCCACGCTTTCTCCGAGATACCATTTTCATGTTCCCCATCACATTCCCATCCATCGTGAAAAGTAATATTCCCTTACGTTAAAAATTCTTGAACAATTTCTGTACGCCTCCTCTTCAACACATTTATATACACTCGTCTATGCATTGTTCATACATTCAGCACTATAGTGCCGGTTTTTACCACCGCAAGATACCCGGTATTGCACGCCCATGTAGCTGCGGATCAAGTATCGATACTACTATCGTGTGGCAAAATTTGATCCTTTATGCAAGTTGCATTGAAGCTCCGTGAATCAGTTCTACTATCGTGATTCTTCGTTTTTCGTCATAATTATTGAAGAAAAATAATGAACAAGAAATTTGTTATTGAAAGTAATTTTTATTTTGAATCGAACTTGTAAAAAGTATGAAGTGGCCTGCACCCTGTAAAGAGTACAGCGCGACAGCAAAGTTAGCCGTCTAACACCTGATATTGCCCCACCAATACGTCAACCGACCGAGCAGGCGTCGTGCTTCCTTTTTTAGTATTTCAGGTATACTGCTTAGATGGATTAATATTTCAGGTATACTACATAGGCGAATTCATATTTCAGGTAGAATGTAGCTATAATTAAGTAAAATAATATTTCAGGTATAACACTGACTGTAAGTGGCTTCATATTTATAATAATGTAAGTGATATAATATTTTAAGTAGAATGTATGTATAATTATATTTTAGGTATAGGGTAAGCGGATCAATATGTCAGAAGAAAAGCATAAGTGGGTAAATTATACACTCATGATAAGGTGTTGCACGATACCCACCACACCGCGGTGATGCAAGACTTCCTAAAAATTTTAACTTGACTGTGCACTGAGTTTTGCATTTATATTAATCAATTTTTGTGCATCAGAGTGAAAGTAGACAAATTCCGAGAGCAAGCATAGTTTTGTGTTAAAATCCGCGTAGATCCGAATTAGAAGAACTGATACATGATTCTTTTATGTCGAGAGTCTGGCTTAGTGTCACGAGGCCTGCATATATATACGTAAATATAATGTCGTGCGGCGATGTTAGTATTGTGAAGTTAACTCAGACGTGTGGTGATCTATGCTACGCACGTGTGGTTTTCTATGCTACGCGCGTGTGGTGATATATGCTGCCTGTTCTTACGCAGATCTATCGCCATCACATAATCACATCATCTGTTAATGATGAGTTTGGCAACATCTGTTACCATTTACCCTGACATCTTGCTAATTAATAATTACTTGACATAATTACTTGACATTACCCTGACCAGGTAATATTCAAGTAATTTATTTTCTCGCTATGAATTAAGTTCACCATATGAACAATGATCTATTAATCAATGTTCATGAATGGTTAGACTATGGTTCACTGAAACGACTTTGCTGTGTTTCTGGTAGAAGTTGATAGTTATTGTTTCATGGATTACATATTTGACTCGAACATGGACTTAAAAATATGAAAGTTCACATAACACAAAGTTCACAAAATTCAACAGTCATTGTTGAATTCGAGACCAACTTCTTATTAATTGACAAATAATGCATTCATCTCATTGGCTTGTCAAATAACTCTCTACAGGGAGGATTTAAGTAAATAATTTTTAAATAAGTTGAAAAATGAGCCTCATTACCTTGCTGCTGTCGTGGCGCAGAGGAGGCATGGGCGGGAGGCGAGAGGATCGCCCTGTAGGAGGCGCTTGCGGCATCCTAATGTCTAATTACTTCCTTACAATTATCTGATCCTTCAGAGATTAGCTGAAATTGCTTCCATTAGCGCTATGAGGTACTGTGTTGTAATTATTTCTGTTTTTTGATTGCAAATTTCACTCCATAATAAGAAATTGAAATTAATTCAATAGTTACTAATATAAATCTTTTGCGGTGCTTGGTTCTTGTCTAATGATATTTTGAACTATTGGAACTAAGAGCAGGTCATATTAAGTTATTCAGTATTGAATCTACACAAATCCTACAACACAGTACCTCACAACATAGTACCTCACAACATAGTACCTCACAACATAGTACCTCACAACATAGTACATCACAACATAGTACCTCACAACATAGTACCTTACAACATAGTACCTCACACCATAGTACCTCACAACATAGTACCTTACAACATAGTACCTTACAACATAGTTCCTCGTTAAACCATCTTCAAATATCTAATTGACTCCATCATTTACAAGCAATTTTATTTTCAAATCTGTTAGAAGCGTTCGATGTCGCAATAAACGCTCTCCGATAACGAGGAATTCATTTACAGCTAATTAGCATTTGTCAGCATGTACTGCATCCAGCTTCACGATAACCTAGCGAGAAATATACGACAAATGAGAAGAAACAGCAGCTCTGTCACCAGGTGTCCGTGTAATTATATAATAGGTCGATCATGAGGAAAGTACCTCACAACACAGTACCTCACAACATAGTGTGAGGTACCTTGCAACATAGTTCCTCGTTAAACCATCTTCCATTATCTTGACTCCATCATTTACAAGCAATTTTATTTTCAAAGCTGTTAAAAGCGTTCGATGTCGCAATAAACGTTATCCGATAACGAAGAATTAACTTACAGCTAATTAGCATTAGTCAGCATGTACTGCATCCCGCTTCACGATAACCTAGCGAGAAAAATACGACAAATGAGAAGAAACAGCAGCTCGGTCTCCAGGTGTCGGCAACATAGTTCCTCGTTAAACCATCTTCCATTATCTTGACTCCATCATTTACAAGCAATTTTATTTTCAAATCTGTTAGAAGCGTTCGATGACGCAATAAACGCTCTCCGATAACGAAGAATTAACTTACAGCTAATTAGCATTTGTCAGCATGTACTGCATCCAGCTTCACGATAACCTAGCGAGATAAAAACGACAAATGAGATGGAACAGCAGCTCGGTCTCCAGGTGTCCGTGTAATTATATAATAGGTCGATCATGAGGAGCATTCCAAGTGTGACACGTTGTTTCCATGCAGGAAATGTGTTTATCACCTCAAAGTACACCTTAGAAAGAATAAGGCCCCATATAACGAAGGGAGATAGACGAGGATATTCGAAAAGATGGAACACTAGTATTAAAGAATGTAGTGCAAACAATAATCGTACTGGAATGTAGGTACAATAACTGCAATTTTCCTGTTGCCATTATATTTGCATGCCATCATGAACTTCATTTCGTTCCCACTTTGCAAGCACCCGCTCAATTCCTAACTTACAACATATTTAATAGGATTATTTCGTGTTCCTTAACGTGCGAATATGGAGGTGGAAATTCAGGACATTTTGAGACAATTTAAAGTGAATTCTGCGAAGAGAGGTAAATGTGCGACGAAAACCGCGTCGTACAATATTTTCGGTAATTAGTTAATGCTCAATTGTGCGACACCGAAAAGATCAATGCAATAGTGCGACATGCTTTTTAACGCCATCCTCCTTAGTTTAGGGTTGATAGACCCCAACAGGGTTAGAGTTTAAATTAGGATATTTAATCGCAGGTCACAGCACATGCTGCTGCTGGTGCAGCTGTGGCACATGTACAGTTGTACATCTTCCTCTATTGTTCGATTAAGACAATGGGAACTGAGACGAATTCTATCTGCTACCGTCGAGTACGTAAAGTGTTCGGCAATTAGACATGTTCTTTCAATAAACTGCGTATTCAGGAAATTATTTTCTTAATTTCTACAGTTTTTCCAGGTATGAAAGAATTCTGGTGCTGGATTGGACAACGTTTCGTGTTTAAAAATCGCCAAATATTTATCTCTTTATGCGAGTTAATGGTTTTAATTGTAGAATACCATTTCATGTACAAGATTTTTGAAAGACTAAAAAAAGGCGTCAATGTAATGAATAAGATAGAGTAACACATATAAAAAATCTGCATGTAATTAAGTCAGCTTACAGAGTGCGCCTATAAGTACTCTTTATTTAATCTCGTATCGAGTTAATTCGCGAGTTAATTCGGACGTTCTCAGTTACGAAATTCTTTCCTGACGATTATATCATACGATGGACGAAAAAAGTTTAAGCAACACTGGCAGTGCAATTACTTTTTGATTGCAAATAATTTGAAAAGTGCCGCCATCGAGGAAGGAAAATTTAGCAAGGTTTATCGAAAAAAGCTAAGAACTGCCGTAACTCAGAACACCTGATGTAAAAACAGCTAAGAACTGCCGTAACTCAGAACACCTGATGTAAAAACAACTAAGAACTGCCGTAACTCAGAACACCTGATGTAAAAACAGCTAAGAACTGCCGTAACTCATAACACCTGATGTAAAAACACCTAAGAACTGCCGTAACTCAGAACACCTGATGTAAAAACAGCTAAGAACTGCCGTAACTCATAACACCTGATGTAAAAGGAAAAAAACAGCTTCCTGCCGAGCTGCCGCGTCACCCTCTCGACCTGATCTCTTTCATTGCTCGATCGCGACTTTTCCTTTAACGATTAGCGGAAAATCGTAGTTATTTCGTAGTATAAATGTTAGGAAAATTCCAGCAGCATGACTAACCATTCATTTATAACTGATTTCTGGAGCTAGTAAAGATTCTGATCACCGAAACTAATAAAAATATAGAATGAAGAACTCTTGAATCAATGTGAAACAAAAGTGCCAGTAATAATGGAAGGATCCTCTTTCTACGCTGAACTGAAACCTGTTGAATTATTCTCGAGAAATGAGAGTCGAGTTGGAGGAAGGGGAACCGGATAGAAACTTGATATCGAGTTAGGCTTCCCAGGAACAAATAAAGGAATATTGACATCCTCGTCCGTTCCTTGGCATATGATCGCAGTGTCGACGTTAAGATTAAGCTGTAGTCGAGCTGATGTAATATTTCAGTCATCGATTGAAATGGACCAATTCAGTAATTATGTAGTAAGTAAAAGTTATCAGCATGTAAAAATTATGACACAAATAATTTGAAAGAAGCGCTAGACATAAGTATTTGTTCCTTAGGTTTTATTCCTTAGTATTATATTAATTTTATTCCTTCTAATATTTGATTTATTTGGGAAAATCCATCACATTGCGCGTTTGAAAGTTTTTTTTCTTCATTTCCTTCGGATGTTTGTCATTCGCAGCCGAATTTACAAGTACACGTAAACTCTATTATTTTTCACATTCAAAAACTCATCGACAGATTTGCTATAAACAAATTTATAGGAGAACCGCAATGATAAGTTAATACCCCTAAAAAAACCTTTCCTAAAGCCACAATTCCTGTTCAGAAATTGAACAAAGATCTTCGTTATTTCACTTTCAACAAAAAATCACGAGTAAAAAACATTCAATATTTTATTGAGAAAATATTATTGTTTTCATTTCAGCAGTGAATGAATTATCATGGATTCTACAGCTCAGCTTATGAATGTTTATCAAAGCTGAAGTGAGAAGAAACTCGATTTAAATTCAGGGAGCGTCGCACAAACACCACCAGCGACCACTAGAGCTCAACTGAGGGTCTCGGTTGACACATGCACGCTATACCTCCGTTCTCGGGATCATTCCTAGCAATACCACTGTAGCACAATGCAATATTGTTTAATACCATTAAAAACTGCAACAATAAACATAAATAGACAACAATAAACAAAGTGCAACAATAAACAGAAATAGTTCAACGGTAGACGCGCACAACTCAAAAAAATGTTTCAGTAGCCTCCAGCGAGATGCAGCTACTCGTATACTTTTTAATTATTTCATTGATGCCACAAGTTGAAATGTAGCAGAAATGGGCTCAAAAGGTTTTTCGGTGTTGTGTTCTAGTTCTCCAGCTGTTTGATGAAGAGTAAATAAATCTATTAATTTTCATTATTTATTTTAATTTTGAATATAAAAACACCATAATCATATTAGTACGAAAGATAAGAATTCATTATTTAAGAAACTTCCCGTTGCTTATTAATATTAAACTCAAGGGTTTGCGTGATCATTAGCACTCACCTCGCCATCATCTGAGGTGCGGTATTTCGCCGCCACAGAAGAAGTGAAGTCCAATCCAACAGGAGGGCATGAAAGACAAAAGGCATTCTTAATAAGGTCGCAGTCAAACACGGCATGTTTACGTGACAGTTTCCTCACAGACGTGGACATTTGCGGTGTAGAAACAGGGGCACCAATAACAGAAGAGAGTGAGGAAGACGGGGAGCTAAAGCCAGGTGATGGTTCATGGGCAACCTGGTCAGCAGTCCCTGAGCGGGATGAAGCCGAGCTAGACAAAAATGGTTCTTCTGTGGCATTACATTCTAGTTTTTTATCTTCAAAGTGGTTGGCCTCATCTATGAAATCAATATCATTTCCATTTTGACTAGCAACCGATGGGAATGAACGTTCTTCTAGTGACCTAGATGAACTCGGCCGTGTCTGAGGGGGTGTTACCGAAGGTGTTTGAAAACTAGTCTGCGTGTGAACTGTGCTTCGGTCCAGGGCGAACGCCCCCCTCTTCGGCGACGAGGGCAAACTCCTGGGTGACCTCATTGCGTAACTGGGCACGACATACCGTGGTACGCCCACCACAGTGGATGATAGTTCCTCGCTTGTCCTCATGGATGACCCCGCGTACCTCAGGGGCATGGTCGGAGTCAGAGGCCGGACGGCGTAATACACTCCAGGAGTTGGGGGAGGTCGTTGGTATCGGATCTGATTAGGGTTCGCTCGTCCTATCATAGATGCCGGTACAGGGTAACGTATGAAAGAAGGAGATTGTCTCATAACCAACGTCGTTTCGTAAGGTTGCTGGTGCAGGTTTGTGGTTAAGCCTGGTTGTAACGTAGCAGTTTCACCATGAAGGTGGTTTCTTTGAGAGCTTGATGGTTGGTTCGATGCATTTCTTGATATATTAGCGGAGAATGCTTCGCTATCACGTGTGATCGTCGATTCATTATTTTTAATTGGTCTGGGT